ATTATTATTATTTATTTTATTTTATTTTATTTTTATTTATTTTTAAAATAAATTATTAAAAAAAAACATAGAAAAATCCTAAAAAAATCCTAAAAAAATCCTAAAGAACTCTAAAGAAATTCTAAGGAAATCATAAAGAATTCATAAAGAATCCTAAAGAAATCCAAACCAATCCTAAACCAAACCAAATCCTAACCGTATCAAAATCCTAATCTTAACCAAACTCTAAATATAATGTTCTACATTAGTAGAGGAAAATTAATTCTAACAATGTATGGATAAGATATTTGTATTGTTGATGCATAGAGATAGGTAATTATAACTAAGTTTATAAAGTTTTAGAAGTTTTTAAAAGTTTTTGAAATTACTGCTAAGTTGGTGGTCTATGTGAGATTTACCATCAAATATTCTAGAAAGGACTTAAGGTGGTTATTTAGGTAGAATCCATTATTAAGAATATTCTAAAAAATTCTAAGATGGTTGGACAAAGTATAAATAAAACTAGTCAAGGCTATTTGGATAACTGGTCAAGTATGGCTTTGATTTCTTTCTCTTAGTAAAGTTTAGTTTTGCATTTTTTTTGTTCAATTCTATTTTATTCTCTTTTGCTCTATTCTACCTTTCATATTCTATTTTGTTTAGATCTATGCTATTTTATATTATAAGAGAATTTATATTGCTATAGATTAGAAGGATCTTACATCTTAGAGATAATTTTGTCTTATTTCATACATGCTAAGAGCAAGATTTGAACACTTTGTCACTTTGTCCACTATGAGATGCTTTGCCACTTTGCAAGATTTGACAGTAGGATGCTTTGCCACTTTGTCCTTAGACACCAAAAATACTAGAGGTTAACCATACATTTGTAGATAGGTTTGGTTTATAGTGAAGCAATCAAATAGATCAATTGTATACAAAGAATATTTACAATCCGCCAATTTGGAAGAAAGATAGATGAAACTTCTTTATTATATCTTAGTTGATATTTTATCCAAACAAATCTATGTTAAGCTTTTTCCAACTTAGCTATCTTTATTTATTGATTATTTAATAAAAAATACAAATTTAATTAGTAATTTGGAAACATGAATATTTTTTTATTTAATTTATTTTAGATAAAAATTCTACTTGTCCTCTAATAGACTAATTATGACTTTTGCATTCAAATTTAGTCCATCATGAATTCAAAAGTTATCATATGACAAGCAATTGTATGATATGATTGATGTTTCTTTTTTATTCTATTACAAATTGTACTTGCAACTCATAATTACAAACTACAATGCAAAATACAAAATTTGAACCTATATACATGTCTATATAAATGTCTTTGATGCTAGATAATTAAACATATCAGTGCAGTGATGTAACATGACTAATAGGTGAAAGAGTGTAAAAATTGTTATAATATAGGAGATCTTAATTCAAAGTATTAGAGAAAATTATCTTAGAGATATAGTTAATAGTCAAAATGATAGTAAAACTAAAAAGTACCAATATTGCCTTTTACAAAATAGCCTTCTACTTACTTTGTTGGACCATAAATAAGGCAAAATAAAATAGATTGAGAAAATAAAGAATATGAACATTTATAGGAAGAAGTTAGGAGTTGATTTAACAAAAATTAACTCAAAAAGACAAAATTTGATATCCAAGGAGGGCCGGTTATCAACTTGGGTCGAAATCAGACCCCGAGGCACAAAACGGAGCACCTATGCCAACTCCAAGGTTCTTTGGCAGATCAGAGAGTGGAAGTTGAGAGCAGACTAGATAGGAATTCTATAAGCATTATTTTTGTGTGATTTGGATTTGTAATGACTATGTAAGAGCTTTACAAAGTCAAGTTTGTTTTTGGATGACTTGGATTTTGTGAAATAAAACAGGATTGACGTTTTGGGCGATTTCAAGAGTTTTGTAATAGATCTATGAGTGAAATTTTGTGGATTAATGGTTATAGTTGTGCTTAATATGTTTTGTGAATTTTAGCTAGATCTAATAGTTGAATTGAGGGTTATTAAGGTTTAAATGGGTCAAAGTCTCAATAAGTAGAATTTTAGGTCTAGTAAGGGTTTTTAAGATTTCTTACAATCTATTAGTTGGATTAATCAAAACAAGTATTATTCCATAAAATAATCAATATAAAATACTTTTATATTTTTTATAAAATTTTATACAATAATCTTTACACATTACAAATTGTGACATCTCTTATATAAAACAACTCAAGGAGAAGACAAATACACATGATAAATAAGAAAAGACAAAAAACCTCTTTGAATTGCTACAAAACTTATTGTCTTCCTCAAAAGTAAATCAAAATTTGAGTTCACAGGGTCATAACTAAACCATGTTAATATTCATGGTATCAAAAGATGGGCGAAGTTATTAGAAGACAAATCCTCTTATGTAACAACTATTGTTGCTAGTGTCGTTTTACGTGGCGTTTATCATGAGAATGCACCAGGCACCTTGTTGTGGAAGATAAAGGAAAAATTGATGAAAATAAAAATAAAAATAAAAATAATTTTCATTGATAAGTTCATTGTAGAGATGTTAGAATTTTTTCAATTTTTTTTTTTTTTTTTGGAATATGTAATTGAAAAGATAATCCTAAAATAAATTATAATATTATAATTTTATTTATAATTATAATAAATGAAAAGATTTCAGCAATAATTTACAAAGGTTGATTTTTTAATGCACTATATATTTATAAATTTTTTAAAAAAATATAGTAATAATATAATTTTTTTTCCAAGTTTATCAAGGTATTATTAAAGTTTTTAAAACAAACAATTGCAAAATAAGACTCAATAAAAATTTATTTCTTTTCTTGCTACTTGCAAAGAAATAGTAGTTTTATTTAAATTATTCTTATCAAGATATTTGTTGGATTGATATGCAACAAGATTTCAACTAAGGTATATAAGTTATAAATAGGCACCTTAAAAGACTATTTCATAAATCTTTACCAAGAGATTTTATGAAAAATGAGTTTTTATTTTGTATTTTAATTTTAATTTTAATTTTTTTTTTGAAGCTGATATATTTAGAAGCAACAAAAATTTGACTAAACATGCAAAAATTAAACAAAATTTAACTAAGTTAGAGAATGAACCATAAATATAGTATTATGAGTAAGAATAATTTTAAAATTTTAATAGATTAGATTAAATAAATATCTACTCGACAAATATCTCATATGTAGTATATGAAGATTGATGCTAAAATTTTAGTTTTGATGCTATGTGATAATGCTTTCAAGAGATAGATACTTGGTTGGTACTTCATCTAATTTTTGTACGATTTCATCCAAAGAAGTATGTAAAATTGCAATTTATTTGGTAAAGAGAACATAACTTACAATAAATAAATAATTTTGTAGAAAAAAGTGTTGATTTTAAAATAATTAAAATGTGGAATATTAAAAAAAAATTATAGATGAAAAAATATTATAATAAAAAACTCTGAAAATTTTATTTATCTACAAAAACAATAGAGATAGCATTTCAACAATTGTATATGAAAAGATGCAATTCAAATAACATAACATATGCAATAAAAGTTAGCTAAATTTTTTAAAATTTACACTTCATATGTTGAATGGTTTAAAAAAAAAAAAATTTACAAAAATTTGACTATAAATTTGTAAATTAATTTGACTATAAAATTTCAATAAAAAACATTACACTTTCAATTAGGTATTATTATTATTATTATTATTATTATTATATAATTATTGTAATTTATTTATTACTGAGTAATTCAGTTTTATGTATTTTATCTACACTAACTTAAACTAAGGTTCTATCAAATCAATTTTCTATTTTTAAGTATCATTAATAACACATAAAGGTCATAAACATTACATATACTCAAATTCCTTCATGTCCTGAAATTTATACAGAACATGCAAAAAAAATCGTAATTTACAATTAATTTATAATCGATTTCACAAATATCAAATATATTATTATAGTAAACAAATAATGTCTTTGAAAAATAGTTTACATAAAATGTTGTGGAAGAAAAATAGATCAAATGTTTTTAAGGTTTTTTGATACCAGGACTTTACTGAAACTGTTTTAATTTGAGATTTGAAATTATTTATTGAAATAATGATACATATAAATATTTCAAATTATTTCAAATTACTTTTATTAATTATGTGTTCAATTTGAATATTTTATCATTTTTATTTTGTAGTTAACTGTGTTCACTATAAAATTTTGTTAATGCCAAATTCAATTTATTTTGTTCAAAACTAAATTATAAATCCTTTGATTTATGTATATTTACCATAAAAAATTAATTCTTTAATAATCACACTATATTGTTACAATTGTGGAATAAGATAAAATTAGAAATTGCAGTTTTCTAAATTCAGAAGAAATGTCTCACTTTCACAACAATCAGGTGCTATAATTTCCTACTACATATCGTTAGTTAGTTACATATTAAAAAACATTTCTATATGCACAGACTTTTATAATTTGGATACATTATTCAAATTATGATCTGTTATTCTTGAATTCAAACAAAAGAAAAAAGAAAAAAGAGAACTACCATCCACCTCATTACACTAACAAAATTTCACAATATTTTAAAAATGAAAATTAATAGATTTTAGAATTTAGTTGTTGAATATTACAGATTAGTTAAAATCAAACGTTCAATGATCATATTCAAAATATCAACCCTGTATTAGAACCAATCAAAGATTAGTCCTCTTACGAATTTTCACCAATAAGAACGATAGAGGAAGACTGAATTCTAATTTGACAAACAATGCATAATAAACACACGAGTACAATCACCAAGATCTTCTACAACCTTGAATACCACTAACAGCACTAGACCTTGATAATAGCAAAGTGACGCCCATAAATCATCACACACTGCACCAACTGGACAGGATTAAGCTACAATTAGTTGAAAAGAAACAATGGTGAGTACAAGCACAAAATTGCAAATCTAGAATCACCATGGGCTAAGCATGAAGAGCCAATCTCTATCTTATCAACATCAGATTCGTAGTTAGACAAAAATTGATGCAATTAAAAGAACCATGAAGTCATGACTAATCATGGTGTGATTATGTGAAGTATCTTCTATTGGAGAGTCTCTCGATTGTATCATGCCACAATTTATGCTACTCAAAATTACTATCCTCGGCATAAGCTGATCCATACAACACTTAGAGCTAGACTCTACGTCAAAGTTTTGCTATGCAGAAACTGAGAATGAAAAGCATGAAGAAAAGTGAAAAACTGTACTGAAGTCAAACGGACACTGATTTCACGACGATGTAGGCATTCACTCTTTCGGAGCTCTGCGAAGAACATCTTGAGGCATATCAGTGTTCGGGCCCTCCAATCCTGGTTGTGATTCGGGTTTCGTCGCATGTGGAGTAAATGTGTTCTTCACAGCATCCGTTACGGAAGCTGCGGTCTGGCCAATGGTTTCTGAAATAGGTCGAGACTGAGGAGACACATCTGACTGGTGTGTTGTGGTTGGACCCGCAGTGCCTTCGTTCCTTGTTGCTACAAAAGCACCCTTCACAGACTGAACACTCTGTGAGATCGTGTTGCCGAGTGACTGCAGCAATGTGGGCTGTTGGGATTCGGCACTGCCTTGGCCATCCATCTGATCTGCTGCTTGCTTCCCTTTTGCTTCGATCGTGTGGACAGCCTTGCCCACTTGATCAACTGCAGTGTTGTAACTGTTCGCAGCATGTTGAGCAGTATTGTCCACGTCTTTCTTTAAAGCTTCATCAGATGCTCTGCAAGATTGGCAGGGAGGATCTTAAGAATTAGAATCAAAGACCAAGCTCTGAGCTTAGCTTATAATTGTACCTCTTTTATTTGCTAAGCTACACATTCAAGTCTTTCTCTAAACTCATCTTTGGAACGTTGTTTGTTGCAGGTTCTAAATCAGGGTGCGTGAAAGTAGTTTTTTATTAAGGCATGAATATGCTGTATCAAGACAAACTGAGAAGAACTAAATGGATTGGTAAATACTTTAGGAAGGGACCAAAAACCAGTCTAAACGATGAATCGTGTTATGATTCTGTATTTATTTATGCCAAAAATAACTCATAAAAACCATCTAACATTGCAACCATGGCTAGAGATACATTAAAGAATATAATGATGCTTTGGAATGAAGAGAAAAATGACTTACTTATTGGAAGGATCATTCTTTGCTTGGCTGAAATTGAGGTTCGCTTGGTCAACAAACTCACTAACCTTGTTGGCTGCAGCATCTTTGATTTGACCCAACTGTTCGGAGACTGGCATTTCACGCTTCAACAAAGTGTCCACATTCCGTCACAACATATCAAGTGCTACAACTTCGCCATAACTACAATATTTCTGTCTGACGCACAAAAATAGCCAACTAAACAAACAAACTGGGGAAAAAATAGAGCAGTTTTTACTAACCCGAAGGAAAAGATATTAAAAAAAAAAAAAAAAAAAAGAAAAAAGAAAAAGAAGAGAAACCGAAAAGAAAAAGGGACAAAAAGCAATAAACTGATCGCATCGACCCTCACCTGATAATTCTCTGGGGCATTCTTTGGCCCAGTCTCTCCCATATCCGCCATGATCACTTCTGCAGCTTCGTTTCACACACTCTGCACCTCGTAATCGCCACCACCATGCGAAAAAAAAAAAAAAAAAAAAAAGAAAAAAAGAAAAAAAAAAAGAGCACAAAACCCTACCAAGAAAGCCTTTCCTGAGCCTCCAGTTCAATAATCCAGATGTGACAAACAATCGCACCGAAGAAACTAAAAGAAACGCAAATCAGTCTACCAGCTTCAGCAATGCACGAGCTCGCGTGAGACCGCGACAAGATGGGTACAAATCGAAAATTGGCAGAGGGTAGTCTACGAAAACAGAATAGATCGTGCGATCGATCGAGACAATTTGGTGGGTGGTGGCGATGCTTTGCAATTCACCCCGCAGGCAGCAATAGCGCTTCATTGGCGACGTGCCTCTGGGCAGCTCGGGCTCGCTGCGACACGTGGAGGCCTTTCTGCGCTGCCACGTGGGCCTTGTGCCAGGTGTATGATCCACGTGGACGTGACCACGTCAGCTTCCTACAGTGTATATCATCACGCCCACCATGGCTTCTGGAAACATCTGTCCTATTGCTGTTCAGAGCAATTGTTGTGGGGGGGGTTTTTTTTTTTTTTCTAAAATATTTAAAATATATATATATATATATACATTTTTTAAAAAATTTCTCCAGAAAGACTAGTTCAAAACTTTCTTGTTGATGTGATTCTTAATAATGCAACATCTTTGAACCCTCAGTTTTCATATTTGAAAAAGGTCATTACTTTTGATGGTGAAATGCACCATTTCTCATTCATTCAGTTGATTGAATGAGTTTTACTGCTTTATGTTTTTTTATGAGTCATTCAGTAGATTTTGTGGAGGGTGCAAGGTAGGACTCTTTATACAAAAGAGAGAAGGTTAGTTGAAATTGTGAAGTCTCACTTAATGGGCTTTGTATGTAGGAAAGATTAACCTAAAAACTCAAGAAGAAAATACAAGGTAATATTTATTTTTATTTGTTTCTTAACATGGCATAAATGGTTTTGTGCTCTATATTTTGTTACAAATTCACCTCAAAAAATGGTTTTTGCAACAAAACCAAGAAGTTTTGTCTATAATACTAAAATTTACTAAAAACTATCATTTAAAAAATTAATATATTTACTAAAATCAAGATATGAACTAATATATTTAAACTTGTAATAAAAAAACGACTTTGTCTATTTTTTGGCTTGTTTTCATGTTATACTATTTTTAAAAGTCAAGGCTTTTGAAAAAGACTTTGTCTTGATTAAGTGAGAGACCTTAGTAAAAATTTGTTCCATGGCTATTTAAAGAGCTTTTATGTACAAGCCCTAACTTAGAATTCATCTCAAAATTGAGATTGAATTGATAGAAATTGATAGGAATTTTTTTTTTTGGATATTAATTGATATTGTAGAAGTAGAATCAAGTGTTGAGATGACTTTGAATGGTAAGTGTAGGTGCTCTCTAACTTGACAAAGAGAGGTTTAATATTGAGGTTTAATATTGATTGGGAGCAATCATATTATGAAGATTGTGAATTATTGACTTTTTCTAATTATTAATATTATTTTTAGACATATTGCCTCTATTTTTGAGTTCTCAAACTATACTCTATATATATTTATAATACTTTTGGCTCTTTTATTTGTACTTATAAATCTAATAGAAAGATAAAGTGGACTTGTGAATATAAAGATCATCTAAAGTATACTTATTCAAATAGTATTAGATTGGAGTCTTAGAAAGTCAAAAATTAGAAACAAAATTATATAAGATTTATAAGAATAGTCCTACAAAAGTAGAAGATGGTATTACAGATACACTATATAGAAGAGCAAATAAGAAGCTAAACAAAAGAATTTCAAGAAGAAAGCTAACATGAACTTGATAAAACTAGATCAATATAAGATGAACACCAAGAGAGGTAGAAGTAGATAAGAGGATTATATGCCAAATTAGAGATATATATATTTTATTAGCTAAAAGTAGAATTTTTGGAAAATATTATATCCAATAAAGGCTTGTTAATGGATCCTAAAAAATTCAAGTTGTAATAGAGTAGACAACTCTAAAGACAATATGGGATGTACAATATTTCCTTGGATTTATTAATTTTTATTAGATATTTATCAAGAATTACTTCTAAGTTATTGCTTCTCTTATTTGATTAACATCCAAAGGTAAATTAAAGTGGAGACCTCAAGCACAAAAGGTTTTTTAAGATTTAAAGATAGCTTTTATTATAGCTCTAATATTAATACATTCAAGTTTTATAAAAGATTTCTATTTGGAGATTGATGATTTTGACTTTATATTAGGAGTTGTATTATCATAAATAGAAATGATAGAAAGCTCGACCTAATTATATTCTATTCTAAGAAATTTTTAAATATAGAGATCAATTATAAGATTTACAATAAAAAGCTTCTTGCAAGTATAGAGTATTTCCAAGAATGGCATTATTCATTCAAAGGCATTATATATCCTGTGATTGTATATATAGATTACAAAAATTTGGAATATTTCATGTCAACTTGGATTCTAAATCATTGCCAAGCTTGTTGAAATATGTCATTATCTTATTTTGATTTTATGATAACATATGAATTAAAGAAGCAACAAGGATGATTGAATCAACAAGAAGATTGGATATTATATTTATCTTTAGTAGAATTTACTTATAATAATATTCTTCATGCTTTGATTCAATAAACACCATTTTATTTTAATTATAGTTACTATCTAAAGCTTGATTTGTTAAATACATCAAAGAGTAAAAATCCTACAACTAAAGATCTTACAAAATAATTGCCAAAGCTCTAGAAAAATTTGAAGCTTTATTTACAAGTAGCTCAAGAGATGCTTTGTAAAAAACAAAATATTTTTCGAAGGATTTCAAAAAAAAAAATCTCTACTTTTGAAGTTAAAGATAAAGTATGGCTTCTTCAAAAAAATATCAAAACTAATCAACCTTACAATAAGTTGGACTATCAAAGACTGGGGCCATTTTGTATTTAAAAGTAAATCAATCTAATGACTTATTGTTTGAAACTAGATACATCCATAAAAGTACATCTAATCTTTCATGTTTCTTTCTTAAAAGCTTATATAGAATCAACTATTTCAAGAAGAATATAACCATTAGTGCCTTGTATTGAATCAAATAATTTTATGGAATATGAAGTGGAAAAAATCCTTGATTTTTAATGAAAGAGAGGCAAGTTGGAATATTTTTTTCATTGGCACAACTATGATATCAATGGGCATATGTAAGAACCATCAGAAAATCTAATTAATGCACTACAAAAGATACACAAGTTTCATCAATACTATGCTTAAAAATTATAAATCTATTTTAAGATGACTTTTTTTATGAAGTTTCTATTAACATGTTATATTATAAAGAAGAGAGTAAGAATTGCTCAAAATAACCTTAAAATTTAATATATCTAATTTATGATTTAATATGTCAAATTGAAAAGTATTTAAATAGTCTTTAAATCATGAATCTCAGGTAGAGTCTGAGTTGGAGCTTTCTTTATCATAGCTAATAAATCAAACATTCCAATTCTTATAATCTTCATGAAATCATCTTTAAGATGAAGCTAGACCTTCTAGAGGAAAGAAATGCTTATGCTACAATCAACTCAAATACAAAAACCTCCAAGATGATGCTTGAGCTATGCTTATTCTATTGCAATTGATGTAATAGAATATAATGGAGCTAAATTCACTTTTCATGGATATTTTGAAGGCCTTAATACTAACTAAGATCAAAGAATAAGTCTTCTACAAGCAGATGAAAGTGGCCATTATTATTATTTGATTAGATCAATCTATTTTTTGAGTAGAGATCAATAGATAATATATGTTATTTTTATCTACTTCTACCTTATCATATAGATAATTATTAGAATAAGTATATATATTTGTGATATTAGTAGTAACGCTACCTTTTTAAAAAAATAGCTTCTATTTACTTTGTAGGACCATAAATAAGGAAAAATAAGGTAGATTGGAAATATAAATGATATAGACATCTTGAAGAAGAAGTTAAGTGTAAATTTTAGCAAAAATTACCTTAAAAAAACTAGATATTGATACCCGGAGAGGGCCGGTTATGAACCTAGGATGAAAACAGACCACGACATACAAAACTAAGTTCAGACAATGATTTGGGAGTTCTTTGGCAGATCGGAGAGTAAGGTTAGAGAGCACACTTGATAAAGTTTTGATGAGCATTGATTTTGGATGATTTTGATTTGTATTGACTTTGTAAGAGCTTTGCAAAGTCACAGTTTATAATGGGTGACTCTGGATTTGTGAAATAAAATGAAAGATACTTTTTGGAGAATTTTATAATTTTAGCAATAGATCTACAAATGAATTTTTGAATATTTGTGGATTTATATATTTTTAATATATTTTATGAGTTTGAGCTTGATTGAAGGATTGGAATAAGGATTATTGAGGTTTAAGTGGGACACGGTCTCAGGAAATAGAGTTTTAGGTCTAATGAGGGTTTCTACAATTTCTTGCAATCTATCAGTTGGATTGGAGTGAAAATTATGTGTGTAGTAATAGACTTATTTTTCTATATATATAAAAAAATTTGAAATCAATCGAACTGTTCAATAAGGAGATATTGATGTTAGAAATTCAACATTCAGATTGAAGAAGAAGGCTGGCCAATATTTGAGCAAATATTAAGGTTGATCTTCTTTTTAGTGAGTTCGATCTTCTTCAAAAAAATTGAGTTTGTAGAAAACTTAATTGTGAAGAGGTGTGCAAAATTAAAATTAAAATTGATGGTTCATTCATTAGTTATTGAGGTTTAAATCTTCTGTAAGAATTACTTGGATTATTTAGAATTTGATTAAGGTATGTTTAGGATTGATTAGGTTTCGGTTAAGATTTATTTAGGTTTGTTTAGGATTTGATTAGGATTTTTTAGGATTTGATTAGGATTTGGTTAAGATTTGATTAGATTTATTTAGGATTTGATTAGAATTTTGTTAGGATTTATTTGGAATTTGACTAAGATTTGGTTAGGATTTGATTAGGATTTGTTTAGGATTTGATTAGGATTTATTTAGGATTGACTAGGATTTGGTTAGGATTTGATTAGGATTCAATTAGAATTTGGTTAAGATTTGTTTAAGGTTTGGTTAGGATTTGTTTAGAATTTGGTTAGGATTTGATTAGGGTTTACTTAGGATTTGATTAAGATTTGGTTAGAATTTATTTAGGATTTGATTAGGATTTGATTAAGATTTGATTAGAATTTGTTTAGGATTTGATTAGGATTTACTTAGGATTTGATTAAAATTTGATTAGAATTTGTTTAAGATTTGATTAGGATTTATTTA